TCCCCAGTATCTGAACACTTTACCTCAGCCAGGTGGCTGCTCAAACATCAAGTTTTCAGGGAGGTTTTCCTTGAACATCCTGTAGAAAACTACTACTTTCCTGTCCCACCTCCACACTCATTCCCTTCTTTGATTATAAGAGTTGTCAGCATCAGACCTGTCTAGAGGTTATATAAGTCTCAGTGCTATCACTGCAATGGCCCACCAAATTGGCCTAAGTTGACTGAGTTTGATCCCCAGCTAGGGAGCTGACCCACATGGCACAGCAGAGCTCCCCTCAGCAGTGTGTTTCAGTAGATCCACCTGTTCTGCCCCCCACTCTGCTTCTGGTGAATCCTCTCACCCCCACCCCTTTAGCCTAGCTCCCAGTTCTTCTATGCAAAAATAAAATCTTTTTTAAAAAAAGATTTTTTTAAAACAGGTTAAAACAGCTCTATGAAAAAACAAAACAAAACAAAACCAGCAGTGTGAAGTTATCCACAGCCACTACAACACGTCACGAGTTCGATACCCCACCAGGGAAGTGACCCACATGGTGCCACAGACCCCTCCTGACCTGCCTGCTGCTCCCCTCAGCAATCTGCCTGTTCTGCTCCCCACTCTGTTTCTGGTGAATCCTCTCACACACATCCCCACACCTCTGGACTGTACCACAGTTCTTATATGCCTAAATAAATAAATCTTTTAAAAACAAGTTGTCAGTTTCTGCTAGGTAGGTTCCCACCCCCCCCATTCCTTCCCAGGCCCCATGCCACCACCCCACCCAACACACTAGCTAGAAATGGAGAGTTCTTCTGAAAATTTTCAGTTGCTCAAGCTAGAAACCTTGGAAACCCCTCAACTCCTCTCTTTCAGCCCACTTTCAAATCCATCAGCAAATCCTGTCGTCCCCACTGGCAAAAAATGTTTCAAATTCCAATCTCTCTTTTTTTTTTTAAGATTTATTTATTCATACAGAACTGGGGTACAGGTCAGAGATGCGGAGGGTGAGAGGATTCACCAGAGACAGACTGGGGAGCAGAACAGGCAGATCGACGAAGTACACTGCTGAGGGGAGCAGCGGGCGGGTCAGGAGAGGTCTGCCGCGCCATGTGGTCACCTCCGGGGCACGCGGGGAATCAAACTCATGCGGAAGTGGCTTAAGCTTCTTAGTGCTGTGCTTTAACCCGCTGTGCCACCAGGGAGGGCCCCAATCTCTTTTTACCACCAACACAGCATCAAGCAAGGAAGCAGTTGCCATTAATTTACATAGATTTTTTTCAGCTTCCTCAGATCTCAAAAGCGACCTACCAAATCATACCAAGTCACACCTAAAGCCCAGTCTCACACTCACAGTAAAAGCAGGGAGGGAAGGCAGCCTACATGAAGCAGTTCCTGAGGCAGGCGCTTGGTAGTCACTCCCCGCTCAGGAGAGGCTTCGAGAAGGCCTGCTACAAAACCAACTCCCAGTGCTGGGTTTGCTTTATACCTTTTGTCATCAGGGAGGAACTTTTCTTCAGATTTCTTGTGGTTCACTAAAATCGGTACTAGGGTAGGTGGTCTGGAAAAGTGAAGTGGGGTGATTCAAACCTTCTTAAATCAGGGGTACCTGTACTGTATACTATGCACTCTATACACAGCCACTCCCTACAATATGAGCTCTGTTAGGACACAGGTTTTGTCTCTTATTTTCTGCTTTGTCCCCTCTGCCCAGAACACAGTCTGACACTTAATAGATTTGTGATAAATAGCGAATGAATGGGTGGAATTAGGGAGACACCTATTGTACTCACAAGGCAAACTATGGACTGATTTGTACATCGCATGCTGGTCTTTGAATGCCATCTCATTATAATGTTGATGGGGGGACTCCTGGGTGACAATGAGCAAAATGACATCATTCAAAGACTGGCTTTTTTTTTTTAATGTCCTTTCACTTAAAAGTCACAATTCCCAAGGACCTATATTGACTATGTTAAGCGAGGACTTATTATATGAGCTCTGACATTAGTTATGTGACTTTCAGGTCTCCGGTTGTCTATCTGCAGGAGATGGGAAAATTTGTGGTCCTTTGCTACAGGAACATTTTCTGAAATGATGCTCAGCTGGAACCTCACTTGATTCCGTTCTGCTGAGAGTAGAAAGTCGAGATTGGACAGAACCTGACAGAGTAAGAGAACTCTAACTTCGGTGGAGTCTTCTGACTTTGAAATGAAAACCAAGGTCCTGATTTGGACTTGACAGGGCCCTAGGAGCCTGGATGAGAGGTTCTGGCCACTAGGCCTGGGCTTCTCATGAAGAGTCAGTCTTGTGAGGGCTCAAAGAGGGCACTGCTGTATGAGAAGGAGAAGAGAGACGAGGAATCAAGGTGAAGGGAAGACTGGAGAAGGGCGGACTGGAGAGGGCCTTCTGCACAGATCCCTTGGGCTTACACAAGTTCTCAGCGAGTTTTGGGAAGTGAAGCCTCGCTCAGACCTCAGCTAGTACCCCCAGAGCAGAGGCCTTTTGGCGAGAAGAGCCCAGTCCTCCTCCCTTTTCTGGGCCCTGCAACAGCTCCCTGCTTGTTTTCCCTGAAATAAATGGGCTGAGCATATTGGGCCGGCAATAACCCCTTGAAATCAGTTGTTATCACAGTTAACAACCAGTTTGGCTTCAGTTCAGGCTGTTAACTATCAAACCACTAAGTGCCGGTAATGATTGATTCTTGGCCAGTTGCAGCTTGAGTGGGCTGTAAAACCCCATTAGTGAGGGCTCTATGGAGGCAGCAAGGCAAAGATAAACAAGGTGGTGGGTGCTCTAGCCCAGCCCAGCCCCACTATTCTGGGCTTTGCTCTCATGGGTTCCTGGCCTGGGGTCCTGCTGGGAGTCCACCATGTCTCCAAGCCTCAGAGCAGGTACCCTGACCTGTCTACCTCCACTTCCCACCATCAATCGTCTCACTCTGCTTTGTGAGGCAGGTGTGTCTCTGTGTGTGGACTGTCCACCTCTTCTCCCCAGTCACAGCCATGGTGTGATTCCACTCTCATGCAGCATACTCAAGCATCCTCAGATTAGGGTTCCTGGAGTAGCTTTGGCCTAGCCAGTGACCAGCCTTGGCCCAGCCTAGCCATACTTTGTGGCCAGGATCACAGGCAGGGAGAGCCTGACACCGCCCCAAACTCCCTCCTACCCTGTGGCTTCCCCCAGGAATTGCTCTCAAACAAATGAAATGTGGGTAATTACTGAGCTGGGGGCTGGACAGGCGGCCGTGCAGATGAAAGCGTTTCCTGGACGGTCTCTTCATTTGCATGGCATCAGAAGCTGCTCAGAAGGTGTGACTTTTCCCACAGTGAGACCCTAGCTCCTTGCACAATAAAGCCAGGCTGCTCACCCAGAATTAATTAAAGGGGGAGGGGAGAGGATGGAACAGAGGAAGGCCCTAAGAGCTGGGGGAGCTGGAAGGGAGATGTCCAGAGCCCTCCCCACATCCCTAGTACCCATGAGCCAGGAGCAACCTACTCTATCCAGTCTCTCATCCCCATAGAAAGCCAGAAAGACCCCGCGGTAGCCTCAAGCTCCTATTCCAAGGCTCCCCCGTGAACCCTGGAATTCCTGATCCACCTGGGTGACCTGAGTCTACTAGGGTTTGGCTGCAACTCTGAGGGGCCCATGTGGTTAGGATGCCTTGGTGATTCTGCACCCAAAGGAGGTATCAAAGAACAGAGACCCAGAGGAAAGCGGCTTCTGGCTTGACCCAGTAGTGGGCTGTGGGACCAACCCAGGAGCACCCTCAGAAAAGGCAGCAGAAAGAGCCAGGATGGAAGGCCTCACTTGAAGACCAAGGCAGCTCTGCCCTCAGGAAACCTGCTGCTTCTTGCCAGGGCTTTTCTAGGTGTGCTGAGACCCCCCCCCCCCATCCTCCCCAGTCCACAGCCACCCACCTGTGGCCATATCTTCTGTGCTCTTCCAGTGCCTTAGGCTGACCTATTCTTCCTCCTCCACAGCATGCCTCCCTCAGTCCCCTCGGACCAGCGCTGATGCTTCTCTTGCCCAGAATTTGAGTTCTGCTCCTGTCCATGTGCATCCCTTACAGTCCCAGCTCACCTCCCCGAGCCCTGTCTCCAGGGTCAGCAGCTCTTCCCGGGCACAGTCCCCTGGGCTCTTCCACTGCACCTGAACCCAGCACCTCCGGCTCACAGCTCTTTGACCAGATCTCCCCACGTTAACACTTATTCCATGTCACACTGTCAACACCGCCCTTGGCAGTCCCCACCCTGATATATCCCACCTTAGGCCCTAACAGCTGTTCTTTTCTTTCATTTTGTAGAGTCCGATACTCAGAACCAACTCTGGAATCTCCAACTTCTACCCCACAGAAACGGAGGCACACATGAAGACACTTTATAGACATCGACTCCGTGACTGCAGCTCTGGCCCTACAGAGTCATCATTCCTGGCCCAGGGGTGGCCTGGGGAGTATCCACAGTGGCTCTGTTAAGAATTGGAAGGTCCATGTCTGAGCTCCCAGGAGCAGCTAAGAGCCTCTTCTTGCCCTTCCCTGCTTCCATCCTCCCAGGAAACCCCTCCAGCAACAACGCTGAGGACGTGAACAGTCCTAGCACTGGAGGTGATAGTCAGAGCTGGGGAACCGGTGGGCTCCTTTTCCCAGATGCCCACCAGGTGGGGCAGGCAGGCAGAGGACACCGCCCAGGCAGGGCTCACTCACCAACACACACTTTGAATACGCCAGTTACATAAATATTTCAGTCATTTAATAGCAACCAAAATACAGCCGCCCCGCTGACACCCACCCATAAAAGTCCTGACCTAAGTTCCGGCCCCTTTCTCCCCGCCCCTCCTGGGGGTGCTAGGGGTGCATGCTCTGCCCCCGCTAGCTTGCCCTGCAGGTGCCAGGTCTCAGGAGCACCTCTGCGGGACCAGAGAAAGCCTCCTGCCCCCAATCCAGTCCTGGCCACTACGGGATATTCCTGAGAGTTAAGAAGACAGACACCACAGCCAAGTGGAATACAAAAATAGAGGCTCTCTTTTGTTTAAAAAAACAAAAACAAAAACAAAACCCAACAGCAAACAATCATGGACAACTAGAACCCGGGGCTCCCCCAGCTCCTCCCCAGCCTTCAGTAGCGCAGACCTCGTCTCGCTTGAGCTTCTTTCTGCTCCCCCAAGATGAGCGTCTGCGGAGGTGGAAGCTGCGGGGAGGCCCCTGGGGCGGGCGGGCCTATCGGGGCTCGGGCGCCCAAGTCCTCTGGCTGCCCCGCAGGCTGCGGGTGAAAGGCGGGTAGTTGAGGAACTCGAAGCGCAGGCTCTGCTCGGTGGTGTGGTGGCCGCGCGGGAGCCGCTTCATGAAGTGGACTTCGCGCTGGTGCTGCCGCGTCTTGGAGCCCTTGCGAGGCCGGCCCTTGCGCGTGAAGGCCATGTACCAGCCCTCGTACTTGGCGTTCTGCAGGGCAGTGTAGTTGTTCTCCAGCACAATCTCCGTGAAGACACAGTCCTTGCCTTTGCCGTTACTCTGCAGGTGGGGGGCCAGACTCAGAGTTACAGGGCTCTGTCCGGAGGCCCCCCCATCAGAGGCAGAGGGCAGGCGGCCCCAGACAGCAGGTGGGCACCCAGCAGATGGCGAGGTGGGCAGGAGCTGCAGCCCCACCCCCTGCCCGGGCACCAGCTCTCTAATCCCTCACAGCCTGCAGCCCACCCGGCAACTTCCTGTCCTCCTGGGCAGCAGGGACACATGGTTGTCTACGGACGGAGGGGCCAGACCAGCACAGAGAGGCAGAGAGAGGGCCTAGACCCTGCCTGCCCTGGCCTCTTGCCCACCAGTCTGGCCAGAGCTGCTAGCACCCGTTTCCCCACCTGCCCCCCTCAGCCCCTCATGATTCTAACTCCCCTGCGCCTTGGCTGCCACCCTATGGGGGAGGGGAGGTCTGCAAGGAGCCACTGAGCCCCAAGCCCCAGAAGCTCAGGATTCGGGGAGCTGGGGCTGGAGAGGAGCCGTGACTAATGGGGCCATTTCAGAGCTCTGCCGAGGGGCTGGGCCTGCGGCTTACTGAACATTCCAAATGCTGGTACCATGTAATTGGACATAATAGCAAAGCAATTTGGCGATTTGTTAAAAAGATATATGGAATTTACCACCCCCTACCTGCCCCCCAGCTCCTTCCCTGGCCTTCCTTCTTCCTCCTCTGCCTTTGCAGCTTTTCATCCCTCAAGCAGTTTCCTTCTCCTACACCTCCCCCCTCGTCATCAGGTAACCCCAAGGTGGGCCTGAGTCTCTCTACCCACCTTTTGAGATCTGAGAGGAGCTCAGCCAGCCGGGCCCTCCACCCTCCCGGGGCGCCACCCTCCTTCTGGGGCCTCACCTTGGCAATCAGTTTCCCTTTCTTGTTCATGCAGATATAGAGTCCTGTCTCAGCTCCTCGCACTCGAACTCGGCTCCCAAAAGTATCTGTCTCCACAATGAGCTTTGCTGTGGGGGAAGGTGGGGCGTGATTAGTGAACGCCCGGACCCTCACTGCGCCATGTCCTCACCTGCCGGCCCCTAACCCAGCACAACTGCTCCCAGGTCCAGACACGCGAGACGTGGGTTCCAGTCCCAGCCCCGCTGCTAACATACTGTGCACACTGAGCCCTCAAGCCCCTCACCAGTGTCTTCGGGGGTGAGGGCGATGGAGGAGATCATCATGCACAAACCGAGTTCTGCAGAGGGGCCAGGGGGCCATCAGACTGAAAAGCCCTTCTTTAAAACCACTAAGCCGAGGCATTAATATTTGATTTGACCAGAGTCCCACTGCCAGTTCAGAGCTCTCTGCTGAGGCTTCTGACTCAAAAGGCTGTGTCCACAAGCCTCACAGATCATCAGCAGCATGTGGGGTGCAGTGGTGACCCCTAGTCCTGAGGCCTGATGTGAAAGCACTTTCCTGTTTGTGCCACCCCTTCACCCCATCTCTGCTCGGCTGAGAAGGTGACAGAGGTGAGGCCAGCTCTCCCCACACATGCAGTCCCCCAGCCCCCTACTTTCCCAGAAGTGCAGACACTCGCTGGGAAGATCTACTTCTGCCCAGTCTCCACAGTGCCTGGCCCCAGTGTTCAGAAATCAATGGCTGGGCGTCTCATCCCAGTGCCCAAACACTTTCTGTAGGTGAGGGGCGTGTGGAGGAAACTAGGGGTGCTTCCCTCTTAGGGAACTGAACTCTTTTCTGCTCCTCACCCCTCTCCTTAGACAACCACCTTGCCACAGAAGCCCCTATCGCTGTCTACCTCTCTCCTCCACTCCTCCTTTGAGTCTGTCCCCAAGAAAGGAGGGTGATGAGCCAGGTCTCCTGGCCCCCCCAGTGTGTCCAACCCCTGCACTGGCACTGGGCCCCTTCTCTGTCCCTGAAACTAATGGGAGGGGGTGGGACGGCCACCAAGGTCAGCAAGGCAGCCCTCACCACCCAGCCTGTGACCACTCCCCTTTGCACAAGCACAGAGCTGGGCCCAGTGGCCAAGTCCTCAGTCTGGCTTCAAGTCAGCCGGGAAATGCATCTGTCACCTCCCCTCCCACCCACCTCCTCTTGGACCCGGCCAGTCTGACCAGCCCTCTCCTAGTCTGCCTCCCTGGGCAAGGAGATGCTACTTTGAAGGGCCAGAAGGATACAAACTGGAAAAGGGGAGAGAGGGTCCTATTCTGGGGATTCTGGCCAAAAGGGGCAGAAGGGGATGGAACAGGCCCTCGGCAGGCGCCGTCCAGGCCTGTCAGGAAGCACCGTGGGTCTCCCCCAGACTCCTCCTGCCCTGGCTATACTCCCTAAGCCTCTGTCCTCAGAGCCCCCAGCTCCTCCACCTCCTCCAGAGAACCTGGTCCCTGCAAGCCTCCTATTCTTGTCAGGAGAGAAGTGGGTCAGTCTCCTGGTGCCTGAAGATTGACTTCCCCACAGCCACCATGGACTGTCCTTCCCCCGCCCAAACAAGAATGCTGGACCATTTGCTCTAGTGGAGGAAACCGAGGAGGACCAGGCATTCCAGCTCTTGCCTCGGAAGCTGAGAAGGGCAGTGAGCACAGCCAGTGTGGAGGGACAAAGGGATGGTAGGCTGGCCCTGCCAGCCCAGCAGGGGAGCTCGGCCACCGGGCAGGCTGCCCCCCCCCCCCCCCCCCCCACCGCCACTGGAGCCCCCACTCTCCTTCCCAGATGGATCTGGGGAGCCGGAGCCACAGTTTACAGCGGCTTTCTCTACTGGGTTTTTGGAAAGCTTAACATTTTCAAACCTATTCTTCCACCCCAGTGACAGATTTATCCCAGGAAAATTATGTCTCCTTCTCCAGCTTTAAAGGGAAGTCAGCTACGTCGATGCAGAAAAAATGCAGCGAGACATACTCGATCCCCCCAAACTGGCTCGAGAAGAGGAGAAAGTATTCAGGAAATGTTAAAAAAGGTGAAAGTAAGAAGAGTTTTAATCGCTCTGCCAGACGTGGGGGTCTCTCCAGAGATTCATACAGAACAATCCTGAACCTCTTTTTTAACATTTACAGACTTGCAACTCCTTTCAAACTCCACATCTGAAAAAAGCCTTGTTCTTTTTCTGTTTTATATCATTCTTCATTTTTCTCCTTAGCTCTTAAAATGCCTCACCTTTTTATTACATTTTAATAGAGTCTTCCCCTTTCCTTTCATGCTTGTTTAACTTGGTCATTATTTAAAGGTTTTTAAACTCACAATAATCGCTCTCTAAAAACAACACCAGCCGCCCAGAGGGCTTGCTTTTCTCTTGGTACATCCAGGACTCTGGAAACTGGCCTTGTTTCAAGGCAAGAATATTGAATGTTTAAGAAATCAATCAGTCCTCAGCCTCTTAGCAGCAGTAGCTCCCTATACTTACCACCCCACTGGGAGCCCGGAGCCCCGCTTAGAGCTCAGACTGACCGCCTGGGTTCCTGGGTGTGTGGAGCAGGAAGGGCCCTCTCTAAGTCCAGTGCTCATGTATAACCGACCCTACTGTCGATCAAAGTATTTAAAGGCTCACAGCACCCCCCCCCCCCCGGCTGGGAAAGTTGGGGGGATTTCTCTTCCTTCTCGTTCCCACTCTCCTTTTGTGGGCCCTCGCGACAGATCCTCTTTCAGGAGGTTCCCTGAAATCTAGGCCCCCTCCCTCTGAACTCTCAGGCTCCACCTGCAGCTGGGGAGGGTGTATGAAAGGGGTACGTGGAAAGGGAGATTCCTGGACTCATTCATCTGCCGGGTAGGGAAGGGGCACCTGGGGGCCAAGTACTCCCCGAGGTCTCTTCCCCAGCTCTCTCTTCCCCAGCTTGACCCCAAGATGCTTTTTTTGCCTTAACTCCTTCCTCTCTGAGCCAGTGAGCCTGCAGACCTCTGCCCGGGGCGTGCAGATGAGTGGATGGGTTCAGCCACGGCTGGCCAAAAGCGAGAAGGGGGGGGGGGTGTGCCACAAGCTACTTTTACCCTTGTGCAGTGCGGCCAGCCTTACCGAAGGGGTCCCCATCTTCTGCCATGGCGTTGATGCGCTTGTTGGCCAGGACCTGCACGTGCTTCCCACTGGTGCGGCTGTAGAGCTGGTAGGTCCGGATGAGGCGGCGGCTGAGCTGATCTGTCACCAGGCTCTGCTCCCTCACATGCTGTGTAAAATTAGGTGAGGACTGAACAGTTACCTTTAGGAAATTGAAAAATACACAGCACGCCATTATAATGCTACTCTGCCCAGGGGCCTGAGTGGCCCCCACTGCCCTGCACCCCCCCCTCCACAGCCCCAGGAAGCCGGCAGGGGCTGAAGGTCCCCCCCCACATGCCAATTCAGGCCACCACCCCCCAACAGGCAAGTCGGGTAGACCCAGCCTAGCGTGGATGAGCCCGGGATGGGGAGGGCCTGGACCCACCTGTTGGGAAACACCCTGGGGCTCCCGGCCAGCTCGGAACAGGGAAGCCAGCTCCCTGCCCAGCGCAGGCCCCCCTCCCGGGCCTTCCTAGAAGAGCAGGGCGCTTTTAAGTAGGGCGTCAGCGCGACCCGACGCCTGACATTTATAAAGACAAATTTACGGAGCAAATGTTGAGAGTGCAGAAGACGGAGGCACTTGATCTTTCAGCCAGACCCCCACCCCCCCACCAGCCTCCCCAAAGAGCCGCCGAGAGAGTGGGTCCCTGGGGCAGTCTCTGGACTTGGACAACGGACGTCCCGGGCCCCAGCTGCCCCTCTGCTCAGCGACCAGGTGTGGCTGCCCGTGGACTTGCTCGTGCATCCCAACCTGGCGAAGATGCGTGGGAGAGCGCGCCGCGCCGGACGCCGAGCCCTTGGGGCCCACCCTTGCCACTCGCTGCTGTGTGACCTCAGACGGGACTCCCTCTCTGTTTATCGGCTACCTCCTCGAGCTCGCTCGGGCTGGCTGTCGAAGGCTCCTCCAGCCCTGCGGCGCTGGCCTCAGGGTCAGTCCTCGCGCCCAGCCCGACGCGCCGCCCGAGGCCCCCGCCCGCTCCCGCCTCCGCGCAGCGCGCCTTACCTGGGCTTGGAGGCAGAGAACCAGCAAGTGCAACAGCCTGTGGGAGACAAAAGCGGGCGGGAGAGAGGGAGCGCGGGGTGAGCCGAGGGGACGCGGGGCGCGCGCCGGCGGGGACGCGGGGGCGGCGGCTTACTCACAGGCAGCTCAGCGCGGAGCGGGGGCTGCCCATGGCGCGCGGCCCCGGGAGCACGGAGAGCCCCGGCGGATCACGCCGTCCCGCGGGCGGCCGCGGAGGGACGGGCTGAGGGCGGCTGCCACCGAGGAAGCCTCGAGTGCGGGACCCGGGCGACGGTGCAGACGCGGCACCGCGGGTCCCGTGGAATGTCGAGCTCGCCGCGCCGCGCCGCTCTCCGCCGCTGCCGGAGCGGGTGACCGCTGGCTGCTCAGAAGCCGGAGCAGGCGGGAGGG